CAAGACGGGTGTTTGTGACATTCACTTGTTAACAGGGCCTTACATATAGTCTTCAGAATAACAGTCTTACAAGAATTTTTTTAAATTTTATTGACCCAGTCAACAAAAAAGGGTCATAAGCATGGATGCAATGCAGTCGTTCCTTAAAACATTTCACAGATGGCTACCAAGGTACTTGGAGCTTATGCATTTCAGCGTAGAAGTCAGAGCTGGACAGAGGGAGAGATCAAATGGGATGCAAATAGGACGAAAAAGTTTAGATGGATATAATATTTAAAAAAACCAACAACAAACCAACAAAACAAGGGGAGAAAAAAGAAGTGTTTATAAATAGGAATTAAGTCACAAGGGTAGGAAAACTATACAAGCATATTCCAGAAGAGTGCCTTGTATGGCATTTCTATCTGAAGGTCTCAAAACACTTGAACCAAGATAAATCCTACAACATCCTAATGCAATTAGTAAAGAAGATCTTGATTTTTATATGTGGAGGAACGAAATCACTGAGGTGCTGTTACCAGGGAGAAATTGTGCAATAAATGAAATCTCTCTTTTTCTTCCTACAATTTTTGTAGGAAGCACAGAGCTATTTCTCCAGAGCTATCTCTCTATCAGTCAGCAGTTCTTAAACAACACCCTTCCACTGAGCCTCTGTTATTTAGAAGCAATTGTGTATGCCTCTAAGATATTTTTGTGTGTGTGTCTTGCTTTCCTGGTTAACGATGCAAATGGAATGTCACTGTTGTCTGTTCCTCAGCACCCTGTTAAAATTTCACCACAAGTGTTTGTGATACCTGAATAAATCTCAGTGAAATCACGTTACGTACAACAACCTTTTCATATTTCTTTGTCTTCATATAAATTGCTTTTGAGTCTTCCTTTAAGAATTGTGTTTCAATAGATGTTTGATAATGGATCAAATAAGTAAGAGTGTTTTGGCGTTTTGAGCAGGTATGTTTGTATTATAAGGTTCCATATTCCAAACTTTGTGCTCAGGAGATACATAGTTAAAAAAAAAAAAGATGTGGTTGGGATTAATTTAAAGAGCTCTGGTATAAACTGGGTCACAGAAAAGCGTTCTCTTTTTTTTTTTTCTTTTTATTCTTTTACTGTATTGTCTAAGTAATAGTGTACAAACATGTGGAATAGCTGTTTCAGTTCTCAATGATGAAAAACATCTTATTAGTTCTTGAGTTAAAAACTCTATGTATGCATTTACAATCTAATAAATGCTTTGTCTCCCTATGTCTCTATAGAAATATTTGAGGTTTTGCCTGCATCCTTATTTTGCCTTTTCTCCTTTCTTCTAGAAGTCTGAAAAAAGTGGAACAATTAGTAAAATAAGCAGAGGTAAGTACTGTACGGTCTGTATTTGTTTTCACTTGTGGCTGCCTTTTTCATATAGACAAAATATGGTTATGCTTTGAAAAATGACTGTGTGAACAGTGCATAAATGCTCAACAGCATTGTTAGCTAATTGCTGATTCCCAAATACTTCGTATTTTTTTTTCTTTGCTCATGTAGTCTAATCAGACAGAAGCTTCTTGATTGTTGTTTGTATTTGCAATTCCTGTAGTTAAGTGTTTTTCTGAAAATGTGCACTTCCTCTGTGAAACTGATGTATTGTAGTACAGGATATTTTAAAATCACGTCATGATACTTAGTAGCAGTTCTTGTAAAAATATAACATGAAACTGAATTTTACCATTCTGCTAAGCTGTCATGGTACTTGTAATAACTAAGGTTATTATAAATTACTTGTAACAACTTTGTAATATCTAGAAACAAGTATTTAAGAAACATGTCAAACATTAATAGGATATTGAGTGGTAAAATAAATTTTTACTGGACATGTAAGATAACTTATGAGAATAAAAATTCTGCAAGCTTCTGCCCTTTCTGAAAACAAGCCTCATGTCCTTCTTGCAAAAAGTTTACAGACCTGAGATAAAGATTTGCAATCTCTGCACTGTAACCTAGTGCTGCCTCTGCTATAGTACAGCAGTGAAATTCTTAAAGCAACTTGGACTGTTACGGTACTTCTCACTCTTCTAAGCCCTGAGTACTTGGCTCTGCTTGTTCTAAAAAGAGCCAGGTTGACCATGTCTCTGTTGCAGCATTTTCTGAGTAGTTCTGACATCAAAGCTGAACACCAGGAGGAGTTAGCATGCTTTTAATGGAGTTGCTAACAGAACTCTGAATGGTGCTTAGAAGATCTGGGTTTTGTTTGTTGGCTTTTTTTTGGGACTTAGTTGCAAACTCTGTCCCTAACGCAGATAACCACTTCTGTGGAAAATAATTAGAATCATAGAATCATTTTGATTGGAAAAGATCTTTAAGATCATCAAGTCCAACTGTTAACCTAGCACTGCCAAGTCCACCACTAAGCCATGTCCCTAAGCACCACACCTACACGTCTTTTAAATACCTCCAGGGTCCCGGGGCAGCCTGTTCCAGTGCTTGACAACCCTTTCGGTGAAGAAATTGGTCCTAATGTCCAATCTAAACTTCCCCGGCACAATTTGAGTCCATTTCCTCTTGTCCTATTGCTTGTTACTTGGGAGAAGAGACCAACACCCACCTGGCTACAGCCTCCTGTCAGGTACTTGTAGAGAGTGATAAGGTCTCCCCTCAGCCTCCTTTTCTCCAGGCTAAAGAACCCCAGTTCCCTCAGCTGCTCCTCATAAGACTTGTGCTCCAGACCCTTCAGGGGCTTTGTTACCCTTCTTTGGACACACTCCAGTGCTTCAATGTGTTTCTTGTAGTGAGGGGCCCAAAACTGAACACAGGACTCAAGACGCAGCGTCACCAGAGCGAGGACAGGGAGATGATCACTTCCCTAGTCCTGCCGGCCACATAATTTCTGATACAAAATTAAGTCCCTTGTCCCATTAATCTCCCATTTTACTATTGAAAGTGCAGGACCTTTCTATAGAAGCTTTATTACTCTGTTCCCTGTTCACCCATCCTTATCTGGTGTGAAATAAAGTCCGTTTCCTCTTTGTTTTCTTTCATCTCTTTCTGTGGAATCTCATAGCGCAGCCAGATGCTGGTTGCTGCTTTTATCACTCCCAGCATATGTACTGTCTCACTTCATAAAACACCCAGGGAGGCATTGACAGACTTTTTTTTTGCTTTTGACTGCTCGGTTTTCGTAAGTTTTAGTATGATCTCATTACTTAGGAAAGTTATATTTAGGAACGTTAGTGATGTAACTACCATCTGTCATTTATTGTTTGTTTCAGTAGGAGATCACTTTAAAGCAGACAAACAAAAGTATTTTATGCAGCAGGTAGCAAAATTTAGACACTTGCTGTCACAGGAGATAGTGGAAGCAGACCATATCAGCAGTTTCAAGAGGGGAAAAGTCCTTAAATGTATGGTAAGATAAATAGGCAGCAATGTATCTTCTGGCATTTCCTAATGCAATGCCTGTGGATGCTGTTTGAGTATGAGGAGCACCGAAGAAAGTGAAGGTCTTGTGGTCTCCCTAAATAGTGTTTCCTATTGCTACTGTTAAAGACAGTACACTGGACTAGATAGACCATTGGTCTGATGTAATATGTCATTTCTTCTTTTTTTTTTTTTAAAATGAGATTCTGCCTCTTCTTAAGAAAGAGTATTATTTTAAAGTCTCTTTTAACCCATTTCTGTGGATAAAATCAAGGAAGGACTTGAAACAGAGAATGAAGTTCTTGATGGTTCTTAGTTCCTGTGATTTTTTACTTTCTTCTTTTTCAAACTGTTATACAAGAAATTTCTTTTTCCTTTATGAATAAGCTGTAACTTTGAACCAAGGAAGCAAAGTTACCATCTGTAATTTTCCTTTCAGAGTTTTAAGAGATCTTTTTAAGTGTCCTTAGCCAAGCCTTTGAAGACAAGTATCAACATCTTGATATCCCAGTCACTGGAAAGACAAGTGTGATACAGAGAAGACTGAACTTCATGTTCTTATGGTTGCTTTGTCTACTCAGAATGTGATGTAGCTTTCTGGGATGGCTGGTATGCAAAGAGTTTCATGCATGGATATGTTACAGTCCAGGCAAAAGATCAGTGATGTGACTTACCAATATTGGGTCATCATTGCCATGCCATGGCAAAAAGTCTTGTCCTTCAGGTGGATGTATACACCCACTCTATTGGTGGATGTATTTGTCCCCAAAAGGTAGGCTGTATCACTGACCAACAGTATTTTCAACTTAGAGTATCTGAATAACAAAAGCAAATCTTTTCTTGAAGTGAGGTGCTGGCTATTTCAGGCTAGCATACAATGATTTCACCTTCTTTGGAAACTCAAGGAAAGATTGAGTTTGGGAGCGCGAGTTGTCCTAATCCCTTCTACAGTCTGTGCAAAGAGAGGGGCACTTCCAGAGGGACTGAGATCCAAGGTAGGTTGAGTCATTCTCTCTGGAGATATTCCTCTCACCACAAGAGTATCTACTAGCTTTTGGCTGCAGGCTGAGGGATATTTGGTTTGGGTTTTTTCTTTATTTTTAAATGTGTGTTAAATAAGAAAAGTATAATGAAATAGTCTTGAAGCTTTTTTTCTTGAATTTCATTCTTGCAAATATGGTGATGTTATACTTCCTCTGATCTGCAAATACCTGCAATATTCTGAAAGGATCAAAAGTATTTTTCGCAGTTATATCCTTTTAATATCCTGCCTGGCCTAGTTCTGCATTTTATCTAGGCTCTCTAGGAATTAGTGAGGAAAGTTTGGGTGGAAAGGTGAGAACAACATGCAAGGTTTAAATAAGTTTTTTCTGTAGTATCAGAGCAAATGTGTATGTGATGAACCTTTTTTTCTTTTTGGTTAAGTAAGTGTTAAGACATATCATGAGTTCTGAAGTGTTAAACAACATACTTTATGCATTACAAAACTATGAAAGAGTGCACTTTGAGGAACAACTGGACACTATTATTTCTAATTTCAAGAAGTAAACAAGTGTACTAAAATGTGTGTTTGTCATTGATTTTAAAGGGGTTTTTTGGACGTTACTAAGGCAAGTAATTTAGTAAAATTCAGAAAATAGCAATATTAGAAGTACTCAAACTGTGTTGAGAGAAAGTGTTTGAAGTTAGGATGGCTTTCAGTTCTCATGCTGCAGACCATAAACAGATAATCAGTCATTACAGTGCTTATTGCATATATGATATGTAAGCACACACACAGAGATGAGATTGCATGTTTAAATCTATCTATTGCATGTCTGTCTATCTATCTATCCACATACACTGTCTTTAACCCAGAAAGATCCCAATAACTTTTATATAAACACATTTAGAAATTATTATTCTTACCATGAAAAAAGACTTGTCTCTACTTTTAACTTTGGAAGCTTATACTAGGCTACAATAATCTACTCAAAATACAAGAACTAAAAGGTCCTGATCTGGAGTTTCAGGTTGATTTTAGAGTTGCCATAAAAGGAGGGGAGGGCCTACAGAATATGCAAGTGGCCTGATTTTTTTAAACCCAAATTGGAAGCTGAGTTTTCTGGCCTACACAGTAGAGTCTCTGGTTTGTGAGTTAAACCACCAGTGCTTCTGCAGCTTAGTTTTTGTCTGACTAAATAATGAGATATTTTGTACTTTCTCACTGGAATGAAACAGTGTACAAATATTCCATTTAGCATTAAAAAAATTAATTTTATTATCCATCATTTCTTAGGAAAGAAAAACCCAAAAGAAAGAGGAGCTAGATTTAACCACCACTGACAGAGCTGCAAAGATGTCAGTGGCATTCTTTCACCTATTAAAGACCAGTGGTTAGACTGCATCCTAGTTGTTTTAAAGCCATAATTGTAATTTTTGCAGAAGTGGTTTGGACCATGTCACACATACTCCAGGAAGTATATAAATCATTATGGAATTCTGTCTTTTCTGTTGATGCCTGTTCTACCTTTTTAATGATGTGTTTAAACATCCAGTGAGTCAGAGACATGGTTCTGGATGCTCACTGTTTCAGGAGAGTTAGGTAATTAGGAAGCTCAGGAGCCATTCTTACTGTTCTCCATTTCTAGAACAATAGGAGAGAATGGGGAAGACCTGCCTCAGAATGTACTTGTAGCCTGGAAATTAAGAGGCTGGCTTGGAATGCCAAAGACCTACATTCAGGCCCAAACTGCCTCACGGATGAGAATTTGGGTTTCTAGCATCCTGGGTGAATGCTTTAACCTCCGTCTAGCAGAAGACAGTATCATCATCTTATGTTCTTCTAGGGGCAGTTTTGCTCTTTGGGTTGGTTTTTTTTTTTTGCCCAAAATGTTTGTTTAAATTTTTTTCAGTAGCTTTGAGTTGACTAAAACACCCTTTTGTGGTGAATAAACTTTGCCAAAAAACCCCCAAAATATACAGGTAGTTTATTTGTGCTGGTCATTATACTGCAATGCTTATCTTCCAAATAGCAGTATTTCCCTCTTTGCCATCTTTTCAACTGATTGAGAGGTCATTCCTAAGGAGGTGTATTTTGCATAGGGTCATTTTATTCTTGCTAAAACACATGTTACTGTTGATGGCTTGTTAAACATTTTTTTAAGGTTCCATTCTGTTTAGCAGTGAGCCATGGTTGTGATAAGACTCAGGAAGTTTCAACATTCTGGTTTGCCAATTTTATTTTATTTTTTAATTATTTTTTTAATGTGAACTTCCAGTATCTTTCCAATCAATGAGCATTTGAGATTGTTGAAGATATTTTCCGGATATGGAAATGTCTTAGGGAAATAAAAGAGAAAAGAAGACAACAAGAGAAATACAGTATCAGTATATCTGTAGCTCTTTCGGATACTTATCTTCCAGAAGACTCCATTTTTTGTCTTGCTTGGTTGACTATTTCTCAACTTGAGAAACCATTTAGGTGTTTAAAATTATACATACTTTCTGTTAACATTTTAATACAGTGAATATTTCTTTTTATGAACTATTTTAAAGTGTCTATACCAGAGGAAAGTATTTCCACTGGATTAATGCAGTAACACCAAAATAGGTGTTAGATTACTCCTGGAAAGCATTCTATTGTGGGATATCACAGCTGTTGTTAAATGTACTGTAAGTGAAATTGAGTGTACTTCAGATGCTTGCATATCTGTAAATGTACTTATACTAAAACAGTAATTATATAAAGCAATATAGTTTTTGCTTTTTATTTCTGGGGATGTTTTCAGTGTTGTGCACATAGATTTAGCCCTTTGACTCTCACTAGCATCATTGAAGTGTAATTTTAATTTTTGCACTGATTTTAATTTTTGCACAGGAAATCCAGCAAATTTCTTGCTAATAGCAAACAGCTGCTATTCAGACATTTTCATTGTGCATGTTTTTTTTTAAGCAGTTTGTTGGGTGGGTTAGAGCATGAAGAAACACTGTGTGGGAAAAAATGTGAAATCAGAACTGGTATCTATGTCAGTGCTTACGCCATCTCCGCAGCTTTATCACCAGAAACCTCACATAATTTGGTATTTTGACAAGAGTTTGTCTTGGCGAATAAGCTAATAAACTGAGGGAAAAGTATATTGGGGGAAAGTAGAAAAAACATTTAACTGCAGCTTTGAGCTGTCATAGGTCTGAATTAACAAGTAACTGTTCAGAGGAACAAAGAAATGTAATTGTTTCTCAGCTCTTGGACATGGCAGTCTTCTTATAATCATAGCAAAGATATTTGGGGTTAATGTGCTTGTTGTTGCCGCTGTTTTTCTTGTGATCTTTCATGTGCTTAGTTTTATTCCTTGAGACTACTACTTTCCTTCTTTGGACATTTTTTCTCCATCTTTGTCCCTCTGTTCTTCATTCATTCTACTCTATTTGCCAAGTTAACATTTTGAACCTAGAGGTCAAGATCTTGATGTGAAACTAGGATCTTTTAGGTTGACTTGATCTATGATGCAAGAATATACATTTTAAAAATAAATATTGCATGATGTAAATTTTTAATTTATACTGTAGTAAAACTGCAGATTAAAAGTGTTGAAATACTCTGCTGCCTGACGAGAAGCTTCACATGCTTCCTCTAAGGTGCTCTGTCCTTGGGGTGTTTGTCTTCACACAGACATTGCTTGTAGTAAAATCTGGCAGTTTTCAGTCAGCCATGACTCTCTAGATTTTCCCTACTGAGCTGTCATCCTGGACCGTCTTCAATTTGACATCTCCTATAGCTCATTGAAAGTTTGGTCTCAATGGAATACCGGTAACTGTTCTTAGAAAGCTCTCCTAGTGGTTTTATATCTTTAATTTCTCTGTCAGCTTTCGTAATGTTGCTAATGATGGTGGTCTTGAAGTTCTGCTTTTCTGAATTTTGACTCCTACATCTTTTTTTTTGTTACCTATATAATTTTTTTTGCACTTTGTTCCTTCTCCACATTTTTTGACATTCTGTGCAGATCCCATGGGACTTCATCTTTGATTTCTTTCCCTTTGGTACTGTCTTGATTTGGAGTCATGTCATCTGTAAACATTGACTCAGCAGCCTTTTCTGTGCCATCTCGTCGCGTTAACTAGAATCTGTTATCTCTTATACCTGATCTGACTGTCACCTTGAGTGACAGAATTTAAATGCAGTTCTCAATCCCTGCCCACCCATCCCACAAGTCATCTACTTATCTCCTTGAAAACTGAGCGTCATTACTATCTTTTTTGTTCCTTGGGCAGTAATTGGTCAGTCACTTCTGTGTACTAATAAGTTATTATATTCTGTGTAATAATAAGTTATTATACTCTGAATTTCCTTGTCTGTGCACTTTCTGCACAGTATCTGTGAAGTTCAGCCTTTTCTGGCAAACCAAATAGGAAGCGCAGTATAGTGTCTCCTCATCTTAGATGCTGCTACTTAGTTATGGTTTTGGGTGAGTTATACAGCATAGGTCAAACTTGTTAAGAAATTTGGAAAGGGCATCTGTTCTCTCTTCATTCTTTCACCTCTCATCCTCTGCTGTGTTCTGATTCTGAATGTGATCAAATCTGCCTGGATTTCTTCACTTTCAAAATGCTGAGAGATTATTCTGTCTACTATCAAGAAAATTTGGCTATCTTCAGCTTCTCCATGGTATCAGCTTTCATTATCTACTTGTATTTTTTAATAAGGATTTTTTTTTTCTGTCCATAAATGTTTGCAAAACTACTTCATTATTTTCTTTTACATTTCTCAACGTCTCCTCTCCTGTTGAAAGTTCTTAACTATGGTGCCTTTAAACACTGTGAAGAGACATTTGAGGTGTTGATGTTGTCTTACCAGATAAAAGTATTACCTCCTTGTTCTCACAGGCATGTGTCTCCATCTGATGCTTGTTTCTGGGTAGGCTTTTAAGCTCTTTATTGAGGAAGCATCTTTTCCATTTTGTGTTCATCCTAATGAGGGGAGATGCCGGTCTATGACTGCCACCTTTTAACTCTGGTAATAAGGAGTACCGGTGTATTGGAGAAAAAGGAACTTCATGAATGTGGGTACTGTTAACTGCAGGCATAAGTTTCTTTGTGGCTGCAGATCTCCTAGTCACGTCGTACTTTTTATGTGTTAATCCTTAAAAGGACTGGTTTGGATTTTTTTTGTCTGTTAAATTATGTTTCTTTATTATTTCACGGAATGTTTGTATAACTAAGGAAATAGCTTGCTATAGATTCCCCCCACACCTGGATTCTCAGTAGCTTTGGAGCTAAACTGAAAATAACCTCTTTTGTCTTTAAATCTTTTTATTTTCTGGTTCACAGAATTAAAAGAAATTGTATTTATCATCCAGAGTCAAAGTAATTCTTTTCATTCCAAGAGAGCGGAGGATCTAAAAAGAGATATTTTAAAACAGGCTGCAGATCTCAGAAAGGTATGTTTAGATAATATAGATTGCACCTTGTTATGTACATTTTTACTGCATTTTACTAAAATATAATTTTCTATTGTGCCTTTTTTGGATCCATTTTATTAATTGTCTTCTGTGTGCTTGCTTATAGGAGAAGTATTTCGGTGGGTGCTTGCTGATTGTATGCTGTGATGTATCACCAAATAATTTTAATTTGAACTATCTACCTTGTTGTATAATAACTGTTTTTGTTTGGATAGCATTTGATGTAAAAGTGATAACAAGAAAGAGTTGTAGTGTGCGTTTAAGAAGTCAGGTGCTTTCTTTATGAAGTGAAAAACATAATCGTTTAAGCAATACTTAAAATTATTTTTAGCTAAGTACTTTATTAGAGCCAATGAAGAATCTGTAATATAGATTTTGTCAGAATTTTATTGCACAACTGTAGCATTGTGGCAGTAAAGCAGCAGCGTATGTGGACATTAAAACCCTGACCTGAGGTATTTAAGTGACTTACATTGAAAGTTAAGTGTACATAAACAATGCTTTATTTCTTTTGTCTTTAATAAAAATAAGAAAAAAGTAAGAGGGGCATACATCCCCTGATATGAAATAGCTTGCTGTGAGGCTATTGGACCTATTTTTCAATTCCAGGTTCTTTGTTGTAAAGGAAAAAGAAGTCTGATTTTAATTGTCTTATGTATCGTGGCATTGGAGTGCCTAAATCGAGTTCCTGGACGTTTTAGGCTTCATTTATCCAAGCTTATCAAACCTGTTGTAATTAAATCCATTCTAAATGCGATTTTTAATCCCTTAATGAAATCAGTCATGTGAACAGCCTTTGTTCTGCAGAGTTCTGCTCTCTCAGAGTCCTCTTTGGGATTGAGACAAGTGTTCAGGTACAGTGTTTGCAGAGAGGATTATGTCTTCAGTTGTTAAAACCAAGGATTTTAGTTGAGTTCTGTAATTGATGTTGCAGAACATGAATGATAAAAGATCAATAAGTGGAAGTATAAATAGCTTCAATGAGGCATGAGTATAGGCATGTTTTATGGGAGAGAGGTAGAATCTTTTTTGTAATCAAGGGCTTGTACCTGTGAGTACTTCTGCCTTGAGCAACCTGAACTGGCTTTTAAAAAGCTTTACTAGTTAAGGAGATTCCTTTATGGGAATGCTGAAATAGTGATGCTTTTCCAGTATTAAGAGGTACCAGTTAGACAGCATTCATGGCATCTTAAAGGAGCAGTATTGAAAATACATCACACCAAAAATCTCATACCTGAAATCTGGGAAAAGGGGAAAGCCATCAATGTACAGGAAAAAAAATGAGCATAGCCAGCATGTACTTGGTATGTCTCAGTTTTGTCAACTCGCAGTTCCACTGTAGGCCACTGAGACCTGACCCAGTAATTCTATTATGGAGAAGGGACAGAAGATCTCCGAAATCCTGCACATCAACATTTGAAGTTCAGATTTTTCATTAAAAACAATACATATGAAATTACTACTCTCAAGCAAAGGAAGTTAAATCCTTGTGTTTTAAAGGACAACTGCTGTATAGAAACAAAGGACTATGAATCATCAGGTTCACTTGTCTGTTGTCACAGGACCAAACAGTAGATGTTTAGTCCAGAAGGATTATTTTCTGCTGTTTTAAAATGAGAAGTGGAAGCCAGCTGCTAGATTTGTGTTACTTAATGAAACTAGAATATCTCCTTTAAAATGGATTAAATCACACACATTCATGTTTACTTTACATTAATCTTTACAAGTAATTTTTCACTGTGTACTTAAAACATTTTTTCATGTGAAACTAATCTATAATTCTGCTCACCAGATGTAAGTACTGTGTTCGTGCTAAAAAGCATATTTCATAGCTATTTATTGAATATTAACCAAGACTCTTAAGTATATTAAATAATGACTAGAACATAGCAATGAAGAAAATTCCTTAAGATTTTTACCAATTTTCTTCATTTTCTGAGATTTCTGCATTTAAGAAGCTCTGTAAGCTAGGCCTTCCTAAGAAAGACCAGATATGAATAAGAAAGCTGTCAGTGTGTAAAATTATAATATTTGGGACTGTTCCTTTCTATCTTCCTAAAAAATTGAAAACGAGGATTACTTTTTTGGCTATTACATTTAAGACCAGAAAACAGGTAAAAAACAGTTTTTGAAAAATGATAGATTTTGTCTGAAATACTGTTTTAAATGCAGTTAATGCTATGGAATTTACTGGGATCATGACATTGTTTTGAAGACAAAGGTCTGTGTATTTCTTTATGGAAACTGGTCTAGTAGAGTAAGTAGAAATATTAGTGTTCATTATGGAGTTTAAAAAAACCCACCTAAACCAAGAACGTAAGAATTAGATTTTAAGATTGATATTACGGAATATTGGAAAATGAGTATCACGTACTTCCATATGAATAATAGATGATGTGAAGTATGACCTCTGTTTTATAGAAGTGTTTTAACTATAATTTGCAGTATTTTTACTGTTAGCCTTACTTTGTTTTGAGCAAAATCCTATATTTTGTATCATCTCATAGAAATAAAGTTTCACAGATTTAAACTATCCCTACATATAATGGTGAATATTGCTCGTTTCTGAGTTTGAGGACTATACTATAGTGATTATTAACATCAGTTTAAAAGAAACAAGTACAGTCAAAAGTATGGAACTTTCTATGTACATAGAAAACTTCCATATTATGTTGCTTGAGTAAATACTTGCTTTAGTTAACATGTTCATTACATTTTCATAATATTGTTTCTTTGTCTATCTCCCAATTTCCGGTTTGGCTAACATGAAACTAGGTGTCAAATGTTAGGAGCATCCTATAGTTGTGTTCTTGTTTATTTAAACCAATTTTGCAAAATCCTGTGTCCTGCAGTGCAGCAGGAACAAAGTGATCAGAAACCCAGCTGGCCTACGGCACTGGTCTGTGCCTCAGAAGTTCAATCTCTTTGTTATCTTACAGGATCATGCTTGCAGAAGGTTCTGTTTTTCTGCTTCCAACACACATTGACTGTAACTCAGTATCCTAGCTGCTGCATCTATAAGGTTTAAAAGCCTCTTGGTGCCTATCTGAGCTTTATTTTATTATGTCATTAGAGTCACGGCCACAGTATCTGTTGCCAAAGTGCCAATGGTTGTTGAGCATGGCATATGTGCTTTAAAAAATCTGTTATTTTTAATTGCCTAGGCTGTACTCATGGCAGCACTGCACTATTTCAATAATATGGAAAATTTCTGTGTTAAAGTGTTGGGGGGGAGCGTATAATTAGTTTGCTTGAATTTTAATGTATATATGTTAAGCCATCACCATATTCCTATCTGAAATGATCTGTCTGCAAATTGTTCCTACTCATCTTTTGGCCATCTGTGAAAGACTACTTTCAGGGAATTTGTATCTTTTTTTCCTTAATTTGCCAGTGGGACATGCATTCCTTTTCTGGATGAATTAATGTTTTCTGAAGTTCTTCCTAGCTCTACTTCCACATCTGATTTCAGATGCTAGAGTGAAGCTAGCTGAAGTTCTGTTGTCCAAAAGCCTCCATAAATATTCCTCTGTTATTGTTAGAATTCATCATGGGAATAGTATCAGACATCCTTATCTCACCTGAAAGAGACTTTTACATACTATCAGGCTATGATGGAAGCAAGTCTGAAAATGTGTCTGGATTTTTTTTGGTCTGTAGTAGTAGTTGCCTTATTTTATTCCTTGTTAGGGGTATTCCACAAATGAACAGGCCTACATTCCTCTTCCAGCTCTATGACAAGCTGTATAGCTAAAATTTCCTGACAGTTCTGAGTCTTGGAGTAGGTCTGAACTGTTCTGCATTTTACCCTTACTGTAAAGCTCATGTGCATGTTAATAATGCTGTGGTTGTGAAATCTAGTGGAAGGATTTCTCATTCAATGCAACAGTTGTTTAAACTGATCTGTATATTTAGAAAAGCTATTTGTAGACTTAATTTACTTGAGACCTTTCAAAATTAATATCATAAATTAAGGCAATCCCTATTATATCTGTTGCTTTCAACTTCCAAATTTCTTGCTCAAATTGTAGATTCTCATCTGAAAACCCTGTTTCTTCCTCTTCCTCCTATAGTGGCTTACCATGCAATGGAAGCTGCTTCCACCTGTGACTGATCAGATGGTTCATTTTCAGGTCTTGCAATTTTAATGAGGTTTAACTCATTATATTGAAGTGAAGTGTTGGGCTACATTCTGTCCTGCCTCTCCATGTCTAGGTCTACAGCAGTTTGTCTTATGGCTAGGTTTTCCACAATATCAGGATCAACCCCATTTTTGTTAATTAGAACAGGTATGTTTTATATAAAACTTGAAATTATTATATTTCCCAGTGTTATTTGATCGTGTCTCTTCTTTTTTTTTTAACATTAGTGTGCAATCTGTTTCCTTCCTAGCAACAGCTTTCTTTTCTTCTGCAAGGATTTATTCATGTCAAATAAATCCTGCAGCCTCGTAAAAAGTGCTTGTCACCTTAGTTCTTAAAATGCTTATTCCTTAACATGTAGGAGTTTATCCTGCCAGAGAGTGGACAGTTTTTGTTGACTTTATTTATGAAAAACAAGGCTCTTTGGCATACCTTCTCCATTAGCTTTCCATCATTTTTCCCTCTTTGTAGAACAAAGATCAGATACCAGTCTATACCAGAGCTGTTGGGGAAGATACTGTCATGTCACCTATGTTATTTATCTTGTACGCCACTCTACTTGGCCCAGGTCTTGCTAGTCTTTGGCTGAGCAGCAGGACTCTTTCCACAGCAAAATGATGAATCTGGCATATGGCTGGCGATAGACTGTGTGAAGGGATCTTGCTGAGATGGCAAGTCCTGCACTGCTTTGTGGTGAGGGCAGAGACTCTGATGGGGTACCTGGCACGTCTGGCACTCTTACTTTCTCAAAGAAGTGAAGTCCCTGCAGGGGATCCTTCATGGACTCAAAAAATTAAGAGTAATTAGGGAACATGGTACTGCAGCGAAAAAGAGGGA